CGACGGAGCATCGAGACGCGGACAAACTCTGTTCTGTGACGAGAACGCGCGCGATAAAAAAAAAAAAAAAAAATAAAAAAAAATAAAAAAAACACAAAGCGAATTTCTAAATGAACCTGCTTGCGCATTAATCACCGACGCAACGGTGAGGCGAGTAGACGTTACACGTCGCGCCACTTGAAACGAAATATTTTTCTTGGTAAAGAGAGCCCTCTCTTCCGTTTGTCGTTTATTGTCGAATGCGCGACATTGCCGCGCGTCGGAAATGGAGTTTCCATGACTCAACGATATCAGATAGTGCGAAGAGACGCCAGCAAGTGGAGACGAAAGAGAGAAAGAGAGAGAAAGAGAGAGAGAGAGAGAGAGAGAGTGTGAGAGCTGTGTCACACACCCTCTCTGACGCGCGGAGATGTTAACGCTTCACAGACACGCGAGGAGGAAACGGGAAAGAAAACCGCGACTTCTCTCGGGAAGGAAGCGAGGCGGCGACGAGTTTGTTTGCCTTCGCGCGAGATTTCGATTATCGCGGTTACACAAAGTTGCGAATCGGCAAAAGCAAAACGTCAGGGGTCCGCCGTTCGATGAAGAAGTATTTTATCCAGTTATGTATTATCTTTTTTTTACGAACGAAAGAAAAACTACTCGCAGCTTCTTTTTTCCGTTCCGCGTTTTCCTTCCTTTACTTTTTAAAGAAACAACGGTTCTAGAAGATAAATGCGCGCTCGTTTTCTGTAGCTCGACTTCGAGGAAGTCTTAATGCGAAGAAGCGCCATTTCTTTCGAGTTTTTGCACCGATTTCTGGTTGGTTCCCCCGTTGGTTACTCGGTGGAACCAACCACCTTATCTTTACTTCGCCTCCGTATATTTTATGGAAACCCTAAAGCATGATATAATATCTCCCTGGCTTAAACGCGGGAGAAACTGATAGATATATATATATTGAACCGAAAATAAATTTTCGAATTTTAAGAACATATTCGAGCCGTATCTCTTTTTATTGGTATTACATCATCATAAAATATTAAAATTATTTTCGATAGTAATGCGATTACAATTAAATGTTCGGTTCGTAGAAAACTTGTTCGCTACTACTGTAATAATTAAATCACACGTCCGAATGTGCTGTTATGCCCTACATTCGAGATAACATGTGATAAATTCAAAATATTAATCCGATAATATCGTCACAGAAAAAAAAAAAGAACATAACGCAAATAATCGCAAATATTTCAACGAACGCAACGTTGTCATTATTTTGCAAAATTACAAAATTCAACGTTTTCGGTCTGCGTTCACGCGCGTCGTTACACTGGTCGTTCGCGCATTGAAACGTCAATATTGGCCGACACAGAAATTGCGGAGTATGCCGCTGTGAAATCGGCGGTATCTCGCGGAAAATTTATCGAATTACGTTTCTGTTACTTTCGCGAGAGGAGAACCTGGAATACCTTGTATTTCTTGTTCGACCGAAGGGGGAGGGAACACACCGTCTTGGTACGATAAATGCCCTCGTTTACCAAAGCTTTAACTCCGAGCCAAAGGTCTGTTTCC